TATTTCATTTATCAATAATGATATTTTAAGTTTTTTAAGTATTAACCCTCGGACGGCGGACCATGGAGAGAGCCCCAATTTTAATTTAATATCCTTGCAATATGTATTGTAAATTCGGCTAACGATTGATCCAGGCTCCTCTGTTCAAGGGTTAAAACATTTATTCATTAACGATGGTATTTCGAAAAACTTTCCATATATAGAAATGACCCGTCAATTGGTACAATTATCCATTGTAAGGTCTAGTGTAACAGGTTCCGACGAAATTCGCCGCAATGCTATACACTGAATTGAACCTATTTGTGTGGCGTAACGAAGTTTGAAAGGGTCCGGTTATTAGGGAGAATGGTGAAGGGCATGTTTCACACCATTTACTAACTGAAAGAGCAAATAATAGTAGGCTAAATGAACAACCAGCCGTCGAAAGGCACCGACTAAGTAATTGAATGCCAGAAGGGAAAAAGAATTATTTTCATTCTATGATTATTTATTCGAGTAATTATTAACTCTGAACCCATTTAAGTTGTAGTTATATAATGTATAAATACTTATTTATACACTTATTACTGTCAGTTGGTCGATAAGCTAATAATAAATCAATTGAATGAACTATAATTAATAAACTACGATATTAAAATTTTTAACACTTTTATAATCTTTCCTAACTTATACACTTATTATTATTATTAGACATTAGATAATCAATATATTAATAATAAATCAATTAACTAGTCTATAATTAATAAACTACGATATTAAAATTTTTGCAATTTCAAACTTTTTATATCTAACAAGAATTATTAACAGAAAATTATTTTTGAGGGTTTCATTCAGTATGCAAATTGCAATTTGCATTTAACAGAATTGATAGAAATAAAACGAAGAATAGTAGTGTAAAAAGTTGAATATTAAAATCACGAATATTTGACAGTGGTCATTAAAGTGTTAATATCGAAACTTTTTTTTGTTTTAATGAATACTACTCACATTTGAACATTGAATTCTAGTCTTTAATAAATACTGAAAGATAACGAGAGGTATAGGTGTCCTTTTGGAATATTTCTGACGTAATAATTAAACATCGACGCGCCTTCTATGATAATCATTTAAATTAAAACAGTAGTCATGGTTCATTAACTGTGAAGCATAGAATCAATTATTTTCTATTAACTAATTTGTCTATTCAACTCTGCTTAATTAAAATATATTATCTATTATTTTTCACTGGATTTTTTTTTTTGATATTCTCCTTTATTCATTTAATAAACAAATTAATGAGTAATATAACATTTTAAAATTGAAAGAACTGGCTTGACAATATTATAAACGAAATCAGCCATTAAATGAAATAATCTAAATAACTTCATGCTTGAAAGGCAAATGTTGTCGCGTTTCAGCGATAAACATATGTACTATATAAGAAAAGCTACAAATGGATAATCCAGTTCGTGCGTTGAACTTGAAAATAAACGTGACAAAGATTGACCAGGAATAAATAGACACATTTGCGAGCAACTTTTGACGTAATCATACGTCCTCGACCTACTTTACGGTATGTACGAATAACACTGATTCTTGCGTTATCTGTTCCTCATCTACGTTTACAGTGTACCATTCTCTTTAGAAACGTTTCTCTTTTAGCATTTATACCGTCAGAAATTATATTGAGAATTGGCCTGATAATGAAAATAAATGCAATAACTAATTTTTTTCTAATTAATTGTTTTTCTAAATATTTTGATCATTTGTTTTGGTCCTTTTCAAGTGTAACAAATATTATAAATATAACGTGTAAAATAATTATTAAATTAATTACAAAAATATTAAATTAATTATAAAAATAGCTTACCATGAAAAATGTATAAAAAGATAAATATAATTTTATGAATAAATTAATGCTAATTGATTTTCATAATTTACATTTGATTGCGCGTTGTCGCTCATTTGCAATGAAAGCAAATTTACAGTTCATTAAGTGATTAAAAATTAACTCATAAACGACCTATCAATCAATTAACGTTAATTGATAAAAACTAATCTTTATTTATCACCAGAATGATTTTACTGCTTCCTTTAATGTCGATCTGATTATTTCGTCATACGTAATTTCATTAAGTAACATTTATTCATGAAATAGGAAGAGTATCGAATAACTGCAACGCACCAGATGGCCCGTTAAACGAAACTATGTCACCACTGCTCATTGTCCGAATTAATCGATCGAGCCAAAGGGTGTTTTATTATCAAACATCGCGATAGCCGAACGCTAATTCAATGAATTCAATGAATCTTTAGTCATTTCAAATAAAAAGAATCGATTTTACAAGCGCAAGGTTTGAATCGAAGGTTCGATCGATAATCTCGATTCTCGAATGGGTATCGATAAAGACTCACCTAGCTATGCATAGGTATGAGTAACGCATCGATGACAGGGAATCTATTTTACGGTTAAACGAAATATTTGTTTAACCGAATTAATTACAGGAATACACAAGTGTACATGCGCAATAACAGAGCACCAAGGCGTTATGTTATCCTGTACGAACCAAGCGGTTGCTAATTTAAAGGTTAGTTCGCTTAAACATCAAACGTACCGCGTGCGGCGCCTCGACTGTCAATCTGACAGCCGCTCGATATAACATAATCATCGTTCATCGTACCCTTCTACCGTGAATACAAAGGAATATCTCGAGCCATTCCTATATACCACTTGCTGCAAATCACGGGTAAATCATGGACTATTGGTGATACAAGTATCGTTCACTTACCGATAAACAAACACGTGAAATCTATGATGATCTTTCGTAGAATTATTTTCGTCGACCGATCCATGGCGATTCGAATCACACTGCTTTTTCTCAATCTGTCTATTTATCTATCTCTCCCCCTTCGTCGAACTTGCGTTAAACAGAGGAACGATCGACGATACGCGAAAGCACATGAACGGAGGTACACAGTAAAGATGCGTAAACGTCGTTGTCATGTAGAATAACCAGGACAAAGGCTGTCCTAACCACTAGTTCGAAATAGATCGAACGAGGTAGAACCGATGCTCGCGAATCTATAAAAGCGGTACGCAACCAACTCGCTCGAGATCCGAGCGACGACTGCGGCTGCGCCTCGTTCCGTTGCCCCATCCACGCACACGACGCACGTGCCTTGACCGGCCTGAATCACAGTCCGTAGTTTAATAATGGGTGCTCATTCTAACGTGAAATAAACATGAAATCATGTCTCCTGTATTCACTATCCATCAATGAACCTTCATTCCTTCGATTACGTTGTATTACACTTGATGATGAAAACACTATTTATATAAACTCCTCAGACCTGACCTTGGTACATTACCGACACAAATTTTTCTGATTCACAGGCACCGATTTAGAAAATTATCTTGATTTTTATCGTATGGGATATAAAAAAATATTGTAAATATCTTGAAATGGAATATGTTGTATTTAATAAAATTTTTATTGGACATGGGGACCATAGGGTTAAGAGGTTATATACTGATGAACGTAAACTATATTTCTATTTTATACACTTATTGGTTAATTCTGAATACCGTTTCATCAAAATTGGCGCAGGATAGAGAATTTCAAATGTCACGAAATAAGGTCATTACCCTAAGCTATTCTTATCTGACAACACTGTGCACTAATGCGTGTAACAGGTCATGGAAATAGTCGGGATGCGAGGTGAAAAAAAGATAAGATTACGAAAGAAAAAAAAATATAGAAGTAAGGGTAAATATTGTTTAAAGGGCGCGCGCACGTATTATAGCTTTCCTTTAGTGCCAACGTAAAGTAAACTGCAGATACCTGAGTGCACCTTTCAAATATTTGCACGGGGAAACCCGTCTGATCATCGTTCAGAATTGCACAATGCCAATTAATAGAATGCACTTTGATTGCAGCCCAAGGAAATTAAAAAAATAAAAAATAATTGAGAAATGAAAACATTTTTTATTTACACATAACTATTTCTACTATTTCACTTATGTCGATATGTCGATGATTAAAATACCAATAATGAACTAATGACAGCTATAATAGATTAAATCATAATTTGCACCTTACTAGTCAGTAGATATCGTTAGATACCATTATTAGAAACAACATCACTTCATGGAGTTCACCACTGACACCACAAGTTTAATATGATCGAATATTCAATAAAAGGAAAGAATTTATGAGTAACATTATCTCCTTATTATATCTGCATCACGTCCCCCAGGTGTTACTACGTTCAGTGACTACAGACCCACTGTTACGTTTTACAAGTCAATAACATGAAGCACGTGTCTCACATGTAGCCCCCCAAATAATGTAATTTAAGTTGATCGTAGATTTTAGTTGATCTTATATTTTTGTAATAATTTAAGTTGCAATAAAATTTTAATTGAAAAAGGAAAGTTTGAACTTTTTTCTTTAAAGGAAACAATAGAACTGTGCCAAGTGAGAGTGAAGCTCCATATGCGCATGCACTACCAGAACAAGAGAAACAAAAAAGGAACTTCATCCTACTTTATCCCCTGGGAGTTATTCGAATGAATTTTTATTCAAAAAGTCTGTTTGTTATATTATTAGTGGTGTATAAACGTTAATTACAATGTAATTGCAAAGTTAAATTCCACTAAAAAGGAGTTTTTAAAATTCGACCGTAGCGCCATCTATACAAAAAGGGCTGAAACTACTCAACGACTTACCGGTGGCGGCCGGCGTCGAAGTCGGTAAAGAAGAAAATGTTTGGTAAAGGCGGCGTTAAGAATTTCTCCTGAATGAACATTTTCTTCTTTATGGACTTCGACGCTAGCCGCCACATACTAAACGAATGAACTACGCCCTAAAGAAAAAATGAGGAACTAAATTTGTGGTCTATTTTACCTTTTCGACGTCTTTTTACCGACCGAAAGATCGGTCGATAAGTCGGTAAGTTGTTGAGTAGTTTCAGCCGCTATTGTATAGATGGCGCTGCGGTCTAATTTAAAATTACTCTACAGGCGACATAATTTTACAATTAAATTGTAATTATCGTTTTATCATACAATGTAAAAATAAACGATCGCTTCTTCGATATTCAAAGACAGACTGACACCCCATAGCGGAAAACAGATAATTATATCAATGATAAAGCCTTAGGCGGACGCGATTTAGTACGAGGAATTCCCTCATGGTGTGTAAAAGTCGTATTAGTTTGCACACGTTCGTAATGTTGAGTAATAATTCATTATGAAGCCTTGATCTGGCAATGGTGATACGTAATTACAATCAATTTTCAATCTTGTATGGCGGTAAATGTCAATGCATGTGCTTGATTCGATACAAAAATAAATGTTTTCATATGAAACATATAGAAATTGTTTATTTCAGAATAATATCGTTTAAAGATATGTTGATTAATTTCTGTAAAATTTACGGGTACCAGAACTTGATGAAAGCAATTTCGGCGAAATGTTTTTGGCCTAACGAACCGGTTAACAAAAAACGCGGTTACCTACAAACAGAGTAATTATTTTTAAAAAGATGGAGTCAGATAATATCTCTCACTTCATATTAAAACGAATTAATGTTCCGGGTATAATTGTTCTTGATAAACCAGAACATTCAGTATGTACCTAACACTTATTATCATTTTTATGTAATTAGTAAAATTAAATTTTTAATAATAAAAGAGTACTTTAAATTAATACTCTTAGATATCGATAAATCAAAAGTAATTAATGTGGAATTAATTATGAATACATGTAACTCTATTTACTTTGTTTTAGTATACTTGTGGCAGAGCCAAAGATAATCAAATAGTATGTCTTGGTTTAACAGTATCTCGTCGTCATTGCATATTTTTTCGTAAAAAAGATGAATTATACGTTACAGATTTAAAGGTATGTCCATATCAGAAGCTGTAATAAAAATTTAATGTGTAACAGCAATATTTTTGTATTGCTAACACCTTATTATTTTTAGAGTGTTAACGGTTTATTCCTAAATGGAGTCGCTCAACCACCATATCAGATGACTAAATTACAACCAAATGACATTATTGGCATAGGTTGTCCTGATCATGATGTTACAGATAACACTATGTTTGCATATAGATTACATATAGTTACGGTAAGGTGTTATATCAATATTATTTCAGCATCTATAATTTAATACTCATTAAGTCTCTACCTGTTGTACCAATTTTAGACGTCAGATATCTTGGAAAACAATCACAATCCTACCGTTGTTTTAGAAACTATATCAAATTTTAAAAATACGGCTACCAGTAAGCCTGACACTTTAATTAAGCGTAAAAGAGAGGAACAAAAACATGATATAAAAATTTTGCCAAATAAAATTCCGAAACTGGAGATTAAAAATTGTCTTGTAGATAAAAATTCTTTCGAAGGTTGTGTAATTTTTATTCATATTGTTTGACCAACTAGAAACATAATAATTTCACTCATTAAATATAAATGTTGCTCAAATTTCAGACAAATGTAAAAGAAACGATGAAAATGATATTGAAGTAATTCATATTTCATTGAATAACAGTACACTTAACGAAAGTAAAAATGATCATAGTTTAATAAATGACATTCAATCAAATGTAAATAAACAGAATACAAAACAGTCTGAGTCATCGTTACGCTCTACGATGGAGAATAGAATTCAGGAAAAAGAAAATTCTGTCACTATGTCTAAAGATCAGCAACAATCAAGTAAAAGTGTACAGAATGCTAAAAATAATCATGTTATTCCTAATACAGAGTCTAAAAGTATCGAGGAAAAATATAATAATATAGATTCTAATATAAAAGAGAATAAGCAAAATAATATAAATGAAAGTGAAGCATTAAGTACGAGTGACATTATAAAGACCGAAGATAATGTCTGCAAGAGTTCAGCAGCACCAATTCCAAATTTTATAACTAATGGAAATACCGTAATAAAACTAGAAGATGAATTACAGTTAACGGACACTGACGAAGACGTTTACAAGTCTTTGCAGAAAAATATTCCAGTTGTATCACCGATAAAATTGAAGAAGGTACAACAAGAACCAAAAACACAATTCTCCGAAGTCGATGTTGTAAATTTAAGCGACAGCGAGGATGATATATTTCCATGTTCCCAGTTGTTTGATATTAACTTTGGTATGGATACTACGATTAAAGATGAAATTAAAGAAGAACCTACAGAAATAGAGAACGAAAGATTTAGTATGCTTGATGATACAGAGTTAATCTTACTATCGGATAGTGAAGATGAGGACAATAATTGGTTGCATAAATTATCTAGGAGTCAGTTGCTCAGTGAAGATGATGATATTGATGGAAAAATGAAAGATCTAAATATGAAAACAGAGGATGCAAGAGGTGTTGATACTTCAAATGATATTGCAACAAACGCAATAACAGAACAAAATAAAGAACTGGAGAAAAGTATCGATGAAGAAAAATTGCAAGATACAAGTAATACAACTGAAAGAATGAATCTTGATTTCGAAGATTATGATAAAGAATTAGTCAAATCTCCTAGTAATACTACAGACAATAGTAGTAAAAAAGTTCCTGAATCTTCAAGCAATCAGAGTTCGCATTTAAAACAGAATGAAACAGAAGGTCTTACAGAGACCACAAGTGCTACCACATCAAAGATGAAATCCAAAAAAAGGATGATATCACTTGAAAGGAAAGTGCCTCAAATTGAACCACCTCATTTAGCCACGAATAGACGTCGCAATAGTTCCAATACAGTAAAAGAAAGTGAGAAATCTACGAAACAAAAATTGACTGCTAAAGAGAAGAAAGAGCAGCAAGAAAAATTAAAAATAGACGAATATTTGCGTAAGAAAGAGCAAAAGAATCGCAAAGTGATTCACAAATGGGCTGATTGTCTACCTCATAGTAAAAACATAGTAAGCTCATTTACCAAAGAGGAGAAGAAAGATTTAGCGGATCGTAGAAAAATTATGCTGCAAAAGATTGCAATGGAGAAAAAACAAGCGTCTCTAGAGAGCAACGAAGACAAGAGACGTGTTGTTTCAAAACCAAAAGCTAAAGTAACTATGAAAACGCGAACTGATTTTCTGGTTGAAGAAACAATTTCTGCATCTAAATCGGTAGATACAATAAAAAAACCTAAGGCTTCGTCTAGTCGTTCCTCCTCGGGAAGCTCAAAAACGAACAGGTCTCCAAAAGGTAAAGATGTTGCAAAAGACATAACAGTATGTCTTCAACGTTCATTGACGCTCAGTGATATTCCTAATATAGGTAGAATACCAAAGAAAAAGACAACTAAAGCAAAATCATTGCAAGCAGCACAGAAAAAAGATTCATTGGAAAACAATGTGGAAAAGATAAAAGATGTTAATGGAAAAGAAATTAAGATAGGAGAGAAATCAAAGACAGAGTTATCTGCTCAAGTTCCTAAATCTTGTATAAGAATGTCATCTCGGAAACAGAAGAAATGTGTATCTTTTTCTACAAACATTAAAACTGTATGCGAATATCAGATAGATGAATCAAATATTTTGAAAAAATTAATAGGAAAAGATGCACCCATACCCTCTGAAAAAGTTCCGACAAAGAAGCCTGTAAACGTAATGGAATTTAATGCGAAATTAAATGAATTTTTAGCCCGCATCTTTTCGTGGAATCCAATTTGGCTGGAGGAACAGCAGTATTTAAATATCTCTGCACCAGTTGTAAGAAAAGATGAGATTCACCCAATGGTAACACATTACAAATCATACGATGATTACTATAGAATTATTTCACCCCTTCTGTTACTTGAAACTTGGTACTCGATAACTAAAGAATTTCAAAATATCGAGCAAAGCTCCAAACGACCAACATTAATGTGCTCTATAGTTGAAAACTCCATTCAAAGGAGTGCAGTTTCAACGAATGTAGTTTTAACTACTTTGATGCTAGAAGTTTTGGCCACGAAAGAAGATATACATAGACAAACCTGTCCGCTTTTCGGAGATCTAGTATTCTTTGAATACGTTAAGAATCATGAAAAAGGGCAGAAAACGTTTCATAAAATATTTGCCTACGTTACAAATATACATGAAACAATATTAACGCCCCAGACTCGTTATAATAAGGATCTAGGTATTTATGTAAAAAATCCTCATTCACTGTTAACATACACGATGAAAACAAAACCGCTAGATAACAATATTCCAGTGAATCGCGTTCAACGATTAAGAACCGTGACTTATTTACGTCCTAGTTTAAGACTGGTGCAAGCTTTACAGTATCTCCCTTATTCGCCGTTACTAAAATTAATATTAAATCCAAAAATTGAACTGTATCAGCTACCAGCCTTATCTGGACTGGAGACATTGATCACTGAAGATCAATTAAATAAAAAGCAACTGGAAGCTGTTCACAAAGTAACTGAGGCTGTGGTACAAAAAAACGCGAAATTGTGCTTTATTCAAGGACCACCGGGTACTGGAAAATCAAAAGTTATTGTAAATATTGTTACTCAGGTACTGTATGGTAATAATAGATATGTAAATAACAAAAGTTCATTGAAAATCTTAGTTTGCGCACCGTCCAATGCTGCAATCGACGAGATCGTCCTAAGATTATTAGAAATTAGATCCAACATCAAGCATAAAGCAAAAATAAAACCGTTTAAAATGGTTCGTATTGGTCGTGCAGAGACAATGAATGCAACTGTAAAAGATATTTCTGTAACCGAACTCGCGAGGCGAGACATTGAAAAACAAATGGCTAGTTCAAACAATATTACACCTGACAGTGTTGAGAACGAAAAGTTACATCTGGAATCTAAAATGAATGCTCTGAAAAGCCAACTTACAACCTCTCGTAACATGGATCAAACTCACAGGGAGTATATTAAAATGAAATTGGGTGATATGGCCGCAAAGTATGAATTACTGAAAAATTGTAGACCATTGAATAACAGAAATGAAAGAGAATACATAAGGTTACAGCGTGCAGCGGAAAATAGAATTCTTGAACACGCGGACATAATAACATGTACTCTTTCATCGTGTTATACTAATCAAATGGAATCTATTTTTGGTGGTAATAAAAAAAAGATATCAGTATGTATAGTTGACGAAGCTACTCAAAGTTGTGAAGCAGAGACTCTGATACCATTAATGCTAGGTATAAATGTATTGGTTCTAGTTGGCGATCCAAATCAATTACCAGCTACTGTATTAAGTCCAGAAGCAAAGAAATATGGTTTAGATCAGTCTCTATTTTCACGAGTTCAGAATGCATTTGATTTACTTCCAGATAATCCAATAATAATGTTAGATACTCAATATAGAATGCAGCATAGTATTTCCTATTGGCCAAATAAATTTTTTTATGGTGGACTATTACAAACCGCAGTCAAATGGCACCCCGAATTTCCATTCTATCCGTATCGAATTTTAAATCTCAATACTAATCAAAACAACGATAATTTTTCAAATAACGATGAAGCAGAATTTGTTGCCAATGTAATTTATTGTATGATAACATCTTCTAATTTAAACACCTGGGAATCATGTATTTCATATGGTATTCTTACACCGTATAATAATCAGAAATCTGTGATATTGGCAAAAATTAATGAAAAGTAAGTTAGAATATTTTACACAAGCATCATTATATAATTGTTTATTTTAAAAGTTCATTTTAATGATTGTAGAATAGGTCCACTGTCAGAGAATGTTAAAAGAAAAATGAAGTTTGATGTAAATACTGTTGATGGTTTTCAAGGACAAGAACGTGATGTAATTATCATGTCCTGTGTACGAAGTCATAGGATTGGTTTTTTGTCAGATAAACAACGACTTTGTGTTGCTCTTACAAGGGCAAAACACACATTGATAATATGTGGTAATTTTAATATCTTTATGGTAAGTTATAATAATGAAATAGAAAAATAACAATACAGATAATAAGAAACACTGATGTATAACAATTGAATTACAGAAGGATTTAATGTGGAATTCGTTATTATCAGATGCCAAAGCACGCAAGGTATATTTTAATGTTAATGCTAATGCGAGACCTGATAAAATAAAACCATATATTATCAATGGCAAAGCACTAAAGTGATTGTCTATATGATGATTTCATTGTTAATATCATTCTTGTATATTTGTAAATCGTACATTATCATCGTCGTTTTTCATAACGTGCAGATACATACAATGTATTGTAGATTTTTAGTTATTTTTTTATAATATTCGTTTTATAAATAATAAATTTTTTACAATAATGATATTGTGGGTAGGAAACAATAAAGAGTATCCCTACTTCAAGCTTATGTAATGTATGTACTATTTTGACCATGATTTGGAATTTAAGTTTTATATACATTACTAATGTATCTTATGGCTATTTGTACTCTTTGTTTCATTTAATTTAGAATTGCAGTTGTAACTTTTTTTTCTTTTAAATTGAGTATGAGACTGAATCCATAAATACCAACCCCTTAAGAATGGTTCACATTTTAACTTAACCTTTCACATAGGGTTGAATCAATTGCATATATATGTATGTACCCTATACAAAAGCAAGGTCACGCAAGGTTTGAAAAATGGTTTCGTCTATTACGCGTTGATATATTATTACGTTAAGTTAGGTTTCAAAAGCACAGAAGTTAAACGTATTATTAAATTCAGACGTCTTTACAGCAGTTTAAGTAGAAACTTCACGTTTGAAGTTGGAAGAACGTACAAGAACAGTAAGAATAATAAATAATATTTAAACATAATTTTTGTTTATAATTTTACTTATCTTATTTCCGCAGTACTAAAAATATATCGGGAAAGATTTCATTATCACTATGGTGCGTTATCGAACTATGACACCACAGGAATATAAGGAAAATTCTAATAAATTCAAAATAAATTATGGCATCCAATCGACACCCTTTGGAAATTGTTTAATCGGTATAACTAATACCGATAAAGCTATAGTATACTTAGGGTTTGTCGATAAAAGTACTGAAGAATCATTATTGGGCTTACAAAACACCTGGAATTTTTCTGAATTAATAGAAGACAATGAAAATGAAACAGAAGAAATCGTACAAAAGATCTTCAATCAACGCGTGTTTAATGATGATTCCATTGTGGTTGTGTTAAAGGGAACGGAGTTTCAAATCAAAGTCTGGGAGGCCTTGCTAAAAATTCCAGAGGGTACAATAATTACGTATGAACAAATTGCGAAAAATATAGGGAAACCAACAGCTAGTCGCGCAGTTGGAAATGCCGTGATGAAAAACAGTATTGCATATTTGGTGCCATGTCATAGAGTAGTAGGAAAATCCGGCAGTAACAAATATACATGGGGAACAAATCGTAAAGAAAGTATTTTAATGCATGAGCGAAAATTTTTGAATACTTAAGTTTGTTACTGCGGTATTATGCATCAAGTATATAATTTTTTGTTTTATTTAAATGTAAGCAATGGTATTAATGTTAAGCAGAGTGAAATATCATGTATAATTATGATTTATACAGTATTTTTTTGTTACCTTAAGTACTTACATAAATTAAAGTACCTACTACAGATGTTTAATTATACAACATATATTTTTGTAAGATTTTATGAAAAGGAAAATATATTTTTATAAATTAGGATAAATTGTTTTATTTAAAATACCTAATTCGCTTCATTTAAGTTTTGCATATTACAACAGGAATACTATGATACACATTATGGTGAACTTCAACACTTCTGTTATAAATGTTATAAGATGGAAATATAAATTACATATATGTAAAATAACATATTTTTGTATTGACCTTCACATAATGTTTAATGTAACAAGTTAATTTTATATTTCATCACATATTTTTATAATAAAACAGTCAAATTGGAAAACTAACACAAGCGAAGTTTGGCATCTGAGCAATCTGTAATAATTTTATTCACAGTATAACTCAAAAATCTATCTACATTACAAATATCACTATGTAATTGATATTATACATTACTAAATAAGAATAGGAAGGTATAAATACATATGTATATACATTTACATATAAATATAAAAACAAGTTACAAAAGTATTTTATAAAAGTTTCATTTCACACAATACTTTATAAAAATCCTACTGTTGACATTAAATTTAACCACTTGTTACACAAATATTTGCTTCTTTAAATAAATTTTGTGCTTACTGCAAAAACTGCCTATGGTAAAATAAATTATTTTCATAATTTATCCTGTGTTTACTTTTTACTTTAAAATCTATTATTAAGTATTAATATGTACTTCAGTAGAAAATGGAACTTCTTTTCTTAAGTACAATTTAAAAGTGATCTTAGATGCTTACGTTAATTAATTTGAGGCGTATATTTCTTTAGAAGTAACTTGACACAGTCATTAATAGATTACCGAAAACAAAACATTATTACCTACTTTGCTATTAAAAAAGTGATTTTTACATTTTTAAAATGTTTCTAACAGCAGAAGAGATAACCAAATATTTTATTAATAGTCGGCCACTTTGTATGATGTATTTTATTCAATCAGTCTCATTAGTCAATTAATAGTATTAATTATATCTATTTAATTTACTCAATTTTGTCATTTTCATTGATTAAATCCGTTTAAAATAGGAAATTTAAACTGAACACGAATTCGGTTGCACGTTATAAAATTGCTACTGTTATTATTAGTGTTACATCGGTAATTACATTGCAGATATATTATTAATAATTTAATATAAAATTGAAAAAAGTAGAAAAAGATGTATTTAAAATTAAAAAATATTGGATACTGGTTTCTTTGGATTCTCCTAGCAAAATGCAGTTTCCAGTTTACTATTACTTGTATCTTACAAGGCAGTGTTTGGTGATAGTATAAAAAATACTAAAAATTTATGTATCTACAAAAATATTGACTGTAAATATATTTAAAATATAAAGTAGATCATAATACTCTTTGTTAATAGAGATATAATTAAAAAATATTCACATTGCTCTGACAGTCACTTTCTAAATAGATTTCCTGTATAAAATTTAGTTTCTTATTAGTTTTAAATATATTTTGATATGATTTAAAATCAATTTTTTAAGACCTCTCCTACAGAAGTCTATTCTGCTTCATATTGTATCATAATAATGGTACTTTGTCAGTTCTATAGAAATATTCATTCACTAGTTCATTATTCGTTGTTAATTGCTATTCAAACGTACTCATAAATATTTCTGAGATAAGTAATTACCGTCACAAATATTACCAAACCATAGGATGCAGTTGCTGCATTTAAGGCAAAGGATGGAATGTTATTTCCCGATATACTGGTAGTACCTGTTATAAAACAAAAAATGTACAATGAATATTATGATACAATGCTAATAACAATGCTAATTATTTAATTGTTACCAGATATCCTAGACCGTGGCGTGGTTGTAATTCTCATTATTGGATTATGATGAATTGGTTTCATTGGAGTTGGTGCAGGACTTGGAGAATTTCCATAACACTGACCTTGAATTACGTTAATTTGTTACATATTAAATCTTCAATGTGAATGCTATTTTATGACTTAAACAGTTACCTTTTTTATAAAGACGCATTCCTTCCTGTTTGGGATCAATATTTCTCATGCAGTGGTCTCCAGCTTCTTTGATATATATTTCTTCATCATTCACGATTAAACCGACAAAACATTCGTTAGTACTAGTATCGTTTCTCATAGTATACGTATACATTACACCCTTCTCTTCCCATTGTCCCAGACATAAGTATGTTCGTTCTAAGATATCACAAATGATTGTTGAATTTAAAAGAACAATCCACAAGGATAATAATTCAAAATGGTGAATTCAACACTCTACCTTCGTAAAGTTCACCGGACTCACAGTCGGTAACTTTAAAATACATTATTTCACGAGTATTACAATTGCTACTCAATTCAGCACACATTCCTGATAAGTCAGTTATCATTCCCATATACTGACCAGTAATTGGACAGGGAGATTCAACTACACGTTCCACTCCTAATTTTAAAAATATCATACATGTAATCCACTTTTTCTTTTTAAATAACATGAACAGTGACAATTAACTTACGCGCTTGTGTCATCCAAACTGGTTTATCTAAATTGGGATCATCACACAAATAAGATTGATAAACTGGACTTAATACCATTCCTGTAAAAATGTGTCATTTTACTAAGTACTTTGTACATTATTTCATAAACTAATGAATCATTTACTTATTAAGACAAAGGGTGAATACCTATTCTGAACTCTAATACATTTTCACTTCGTTGTCTCATCATTAAACACACATAGGCAGCTTGTTCGCTGAAAAATGTACAAACATAATTAAAGGTAACAGATATAAGAAGCTATTTATTTCAACTTTATTAATTGAAATGTCATCCTACCATTGATCTTTAGAATAAACAATGTATCGACCCGTTTCTTCATTTGAATCTACAGTAATAAAGGTGTAACTGTTATATCCATTGAGATCAGTGAATGTCATAGTTCCATTGACTATGAGAGACTCTTCCCACAAACCTTGTGCCCATTTTGGGAATCTAAATTAATTATTCATTTTAACTAAATTGGGATAAATAATTAATTAATGAATGAAAAGATATACTAACGTTGCCACGTGGGTTTTTACATAATTTGGCATTTTCTTTTGAGTCGGAATTTTACTAAGGACCAGCGTTTCATATCCACTGGTTGAATTATCTAAATCTTGTGTGCAACTTGAATCACTGCTGAGTGCCATGTACGTTTTTCCTTTCTTGTTATCCACATGGAACAGCTGAAAAGATACTGCATTAAATAAAAATTGTATTTCTTTTTTTGTAATATATTTTTTTAAACTTACCCCGCATCTGTATTGTGGTCTACCTTCACTAATTGCATTATTATCCAAAAGGGCGAAATAGGTGGACCCATTTGGACCAGGCCAATTGCCCAAGCAGTTAAACGTTAAATTTGCTGAAATATTAATAACAATAAGTACTCTGATTTTTCCACATATGAAAAGAATTTATCATATTGAAAGAAACATTACTGTGAGACTCAACGGTACAGCGATTAAAATGCAGCCTCAAAACAGAACCATCAGGGCAATTGTTAAAGGAAGATGAGAAGCTGTTGCATTCAATGGCTCTTTCAGATCCATTGTTAAGACTGTACTTGAAATGATACTGTCCACTTATAGGACAATATTCGTTGCTAATAGAAACACTCCCAATTTCTTTAGTACCTGTTCAAACAATGAAGTAATTAAATATATTACAAAAATTAATTAAAGCCATGGTATATAGAATAAGGAAACTTTCTCTTACGGTATAAAATGGACGTGGAATTTAATTTATCACAGGAAGACAGGGCGGTGGATTCAGATGTGTAACACCTGTTCAGATTTTCTGAAAACACTTCTATAACGTTGCGTGATCTTCTCGTTAAACGGAAACATCGGATACAGTCACCGTCGCCGTATCTAAAATGAAACGAAATTTCAAATTAATTTTATGGTAAAAATTCATTTTCCAGTGGTACATTAATGATCTACAAAAAGGGGCCTTGAAATTGAAAATAATTCAGTCCCTTATACATGGTTAGCCACGAAATGCAGAAATTATATCCGGCACCGTCTGGAGTCTGGTCTATTTTCATCCCAGACGCACTGCAGACGTCGGGGCATCCCCTGAGGATGCGCTGAGTAAGCGAACTCGATCAGTACATTTACCTCGTCCAGTAATCAATATTCTTAATAATTATTATGAATTATTTCTCAATACTCTTTTTCTGGAAATTATTGCTGCAATTTTAAATTACAATATATGAATTATTTCTGATTTTAGCCGGGCCAATTTACCTGTCCATTAGCAACACGTTATCACCGACCCTCCTGTGACAGTATCCCCACACAGGTATGGCGTTAAACGTGATGTTGATGGTGGAATATTGAATTGGCTCGTTACTCGTGTCACCGGCTTCCTTTCCGCTCACCTGTGTCACGAATTCACCCTGAAATTCCGCGGGAAAGTAACATCCGACCATGAACTGGGGGTCGTACCCTTGAAGGCCGTCGCTGGTGATCACAGTCGCATCTGTAAATCAAATAACGTCCTCCGTCAATCTTATGTCATTTCTTCTACTACATAACAGATTTTAGGCAATTAAAATGGTCAATTAGACCAATTATTATGTTCTATATTCTTTTATAACGTGCTGGCTTTGGACCCAAAGTTTCTGCAGCCTCTGCTAAGATAAGGGGGGCTTTTAAGTTTAAGAAATTTTTCCTCTGTTGCAAAATGTTTATATCTGTAAAACTAATGGATAAATGAACAGGGAAGCTTGTTATCTTTAATCTGAAGATCGCGTTAGATATAACTGTGCCTGGGAAAGTGTTAACATCAAGAATTTTCGATGGTATGCGAATCTACTTTCACGAGATTGATTGTTTCCGCGAGAAAATCAATACACCGAATAAAATGAATTCTCATGAACGAGCCCGGGGGTCATGCGAACGACCTTAAGCATCCTTTGTGTTTGATGAAAGCCTCGATTAATTTGTATAACGTCGATGCACT